CGAGGCCTTGTCTTGAGCTCACACAGAAATCCACCCACCCGCCCACGGGCACGGACAGCAGCCCTCACCTCGCGGTGTCGGCCTTGCCGTCGTATAACAGCAATAGTAGTTTGGAGGGAGAGGCGGCTTGCTTCCTCACTGGAGCTCACCCCGGTCCTCGCACCCCCGAGAAGAAGGAGGTGGAGGCACGTCGGAGCCCTCCCACGGATCAGCCCTTGTCCTCCCCCCCTCCCTCTGCCGCTTCCTCCTACTGTTGCGGTGGTTGGTGCATCCTCTCTTTGGAGAGAAAGGCCAAAGCCCTTTATTTCAACCGATGCCGCAGTCGTTGCCCCCCCCCGGAGGGTTGGGAAGTTGTGGGGGAAGGGGAGAGGGAGAGGGAAAGGGAGAAAGAGAAGAGCCTGGTGGTCGGACCAGCACCGTCGCTGATGGCGCATGGAGGGAAGGGAGGGAGCGGGGGAGGGAGGAGGGGAGGGATAGGGCGCGGTCAGATGGTTTAGCTGGCTGCATGCAGAGGGGACGAATGCTTGTAAATGTGGAGGACTCCGGGGCAAGCACCGGCATGTGCTTCCATCCCTTCTATTATATAGCATGTGCGAACGGCACATTGAATCTGGTGAAGGAAAGGCGCGGAGGGAGGTGGAGGAAGGCGGTGCGAGGAAGTCCACACGATCAGCATCTGAGGGCTTCCAGGCTGGGTGTGTGCGAGTACGGAAGAACAGCGAGAGGTCCGAAGCCTCCATTGCCCGGGGCGGCGCCGAGAATGTAATCCTCCGGGAATCCTCCAAGCTACACGGGCTTTATCATTCCTTTCCGTCATTTATTCTTCTTTCATTTCTTCCTTTACCACCTATTCCATGCCGTCGTCCGTCTTCCCCCTACCAAAGTCCCTCCCCGGCCCTGCTCCCTTCTTCCCCTCTCTTTTTCCTCGGTATGTATAACAATCACTGCCCGCCCCACACTCGCTATCATCCACACGTCTCTCTTATCACTCCGAGCCCCTATGCCGTCTCTGTATGTTTTTTGTAGGCCGCTGCGTCCATCAATGCCTCGAATTCTGCCTTGTCTGTCACCTTGAACTTCGTGAACCACGCGTCTGTTTCCGCGGCGTTGTTCACATTCCCGGGGTCCTCCGAAAGGGACGCATTCGACTCGATGATCTCTCCTGAGACGGGCGCGTACACGTCGCTGGCGGCCTTGACAGACTCGACGGAGCCAAAGGGGTCCCTGGAATAGGGGGGTCGAGGGGGGAGACGCGTTGTATTATATATATGCGGGCTTCAAAGCACCATATTCATGGCGTGTACGTTGATTCGACATGTGGCGTGTCCAAACGTGTAAAATGGAGAAGGAAATGCCAGGTAAGCACCTGGATAGAAGCGATGGGGTCGCTGAGCGGTCGAAAGATCCTCTTCACACCGCCTTGCTTACCCTTTACTGAAGGATGCCCCTACTTCCGGCAAGTCCACGTAAACCACGTCCCCCAGGGCCTTGGCCGCGAAGTCAGTAATGCCCACAGTGGCGATGTCCCCATCCAGCTTCACCCACTCGTGTGACGTTGCGTAGCGTGTGGTTGCTAACGTACGGCGCAGTGTCGGCTGAAAGACGGTTGACTGGACTCAGACAAAGAACAGATGTATGATCGTGGGACATCGAGGAAGGTAAATCAGTAGCAGATAACGATCGCTTCAACACATGGCGATCAAGGCGGATTTGTTTCCATGTAATATGCACAGAATGGGACGAGGCGGCTCACAGAAGGGATTGGCACGTGTGCTTGATATCATGAAAAGGGAGCTCAAAATCTGAAAACTTACGGAGCAGGCGATGCGACGAGCTACGTGACGGGTGGCCGTAGCAAGCATTGTGAAATTTTTTGGAGAGAATGCACGAAAAAGTGCGTCGAAGATCCTGAACGATTTGTGGTAGGAATACGACATCGTGATATGAGACTGAACATAAGCGAGAGAGGAGCACTGCTTCTTTCGTGAGGATCGGGCGACACGAACCACTTCCGTCAGTAATAAGTACTGGTGCAGTCATGTAGTATGAACAGATGAGGGGTAGATTTTCGAGAGACCGATGAACAGCCAATTTGTGTGCATTTGCTGAAGTCCTAGAGGCACCTTATCGCCGGTCTCATTGCACGCATCGAGCTCGAGAAAAGACTCCTCCCCACCCCATCCGCCACTCCTTCGCATGACCTCGGACATCACGTCTCCCTGCCTATCAAACGCCACACGCGTCGCGCCCGTGGCGTGCAGGTA